ATTGGCTGTCTCCCGCAGTTATTCCCCTGGAACTGGTGGTTTAAAGGCATACTTGAAGTCTCGTAATTCAGTAGTTGCATCCCGGCACAGAGACACCTCCAAGGGAAACTCCACCACGAAACGACTGAATTACAACATCCAAAGTTCAGTTCTATTCATTTGGGTCTGAACATAGACAAAGGCTTCCTGTTTCCCGTACAGGTGTTAATTTGCTTAGCGCTGCTAAGGCGATTTGGTTAGCGCCAGCTACTGGTGCCACGAAGGGTCATTTCATCTACCTTTGGAGGTAATGGAATTTATTTATTTATTTCAAAGCACTTATAAGCCGCTTAATAGGTTTTAAATTCCTAAGCGCCGTACGATATAAAAACAGACAATATTGGGGGGGGGATGCAGCTTAAAGCCAATAAAACAGCAGCATAAAAGCATAGGAAAATGTGCATTTTTTTGTACGCATTGCCTGCCCAGAGAACCACATGGCAAAATTCAGAGAACAGTGAATTTTGAAGGACGGTTGTGTTTCAGTTTGCACGTTTCCCCAGAAATTGTGTGCAATATCCTTAAGTGGATACCTCGTGCAGCCTCTCGCACGGGTCGCACACTGCCCTGTGAACCATGTGGCGCCACAGCAGACTCCGAGATAGCAGCAGAATGTCTGCTTTATTGAACAGGTGATAAACAGGACTAGCTCAGAGGACAGCTTAAGAAGAGCTTCCTTGGTTTGGGGCCCAGAACACAGGACACACAGACACACACCACACAAACATAAATCTTCCTCACCAAGCCGTGAGAAGAGCAATGGCTGCCATTATTCTCCTTTTTAACCCCTTATATAACCACATACCACCATTCAAAATAGGTAAGACTTTAAATGCAGACTGAACTGAATTTGCTGTTTTTGCTTTCTGCGGAAGAACTTAGGTGTGAGATTATGCCTTCCATATCAAGGTGAAGCTCTCTTTTTTCCAGAAAGCAGTTTGTTTATCTAGATCAGGGGTCAGCAACCTTTTTCAGCTGTGGGCTGGTCCACCGTCCCTCAAAACATGTGGTGGGCCAGACTATATTTTAGAAAAAAGGGGGGGGATGAACGAATTCCTATGCCCCACAAATAACCTAGAGATGCATTTTAAATAAAAGCACACATTCTGCACATGTAAAAACACCAGGCAGGCCTCACAAATAACCCAGAGATTTATTTTAAATAAAAGGACACATTCTACTTATGTAATAACATGCTGATTCCCAGACCGTCTGTGGACTGGATTTAGAAGGCGATTGGGCCACATCCAGACCCCGGGCCTTAGGTTGCCTACCCCGATCTAGATCAGCCTGCATTGAGAAGCAATAATTTAATAATAATAATAATAATAATAATAATAATAATACTGTAATAATTTATTATTTATACCCCACCCATCTGGCTGGGCTTCCCCAGCCACTCTGGGCGGCTTCCCCAAAAAATATAAAAATACTGTAATACATAAACATTAAAAGCTTCCCTAAACAGGGCTGCCTTCAGATGTCTGGTAGTTGTTGTTCTCTTTGACATCTGGTGGAAGGGTGTTCCACAGGGAGGGTGCCACTACTGAGAAGGCCCATATGGGGCATGTTATGTACTGAGTTGAATAGGATCCAAAATGCAGCAGTCTGATTGGTCCTAGAACAATAGGATTCAGAATGCAGCAGTCTGATTGGTCCTAGAACAATAGGATTCAGAATGCAGCAGTCTGATTGGTCCTAGAACAATAGGATTCAGAATGCAGCAGTCTGATTGGTCCTAGAACAATGCAGCAGTATGATTGGTCCGCAGGAGCCATCCAATCCAGCTCCAGGTGGAAGTGAATCCACAATCTGATTGGCCTACAGGAGAATCCCGGAATTAGCCAATCACGTGCGGCCCATTGTGTAAATAATGTATATAAAGCAGATATTGTGGTGGAACTTCCATTCCTCCTCACCACTATGAGCTGAATAAAGAGCATGAAATCCACTCTCGACTCCGAGTATATTTCAGGGCAAGATAAAAGGGATTTAAAAACTCTGCTGCCTCCTTTGGATTAAATGTGCTTGTGGTTGTTGTTTTCCTCCATGCACACACAGAGACATCAAGAGATGATCCTTCGCCTGAGCATTGCTTCACCGAATGACTGAGCCAACCTGGCAGCAGTGGCAGCCAGAAGTGGTGTGATGCCTCACACATGACTGCCGGCTGCAATCATGCCCCCACGCACTTGCTCAACATCGGATGGACATCGGCTTTAAAACATGATGCCTCCTCGTAATCTAAAGCAAAATCCACCCACAGAGAACCATATTGCACAGCAGTTCCTCGTCTGCAATTACCCATCCTCAACTTTTCTACCTGTGGAGCAACCAAGTGGGAAGTCGTGGGAGGGGAGAAAAACTGGACCAAGCTCTCCTTTTCAAATCTAAAGTTGGGAAACCCAGAGGCCTACTCAATGCGGTCAGACTGCAACACCCATCAGCTCCAGCTAGCAAAGCCGGTGTTCAGGCATGACAGGAGCTGGAACCAACACAGGCTCCCTTCCCTACGTTAGAAAGTTTTGTTGTTGTTGTTGTTGTTTTTTGACATTTCAGCGTTAGCCCTGCTCTCTACAATATGGGGATAATACTACTGGTGTAGCTTGCTATCTCCAACTCCTCGAAAAGGTTCCATCAACGGTGTCTCTGAAAAGTTTTGCACATCGCTTGGGAAGACAGGCGAACTAATGCCAGTGTACTAGAAGCAAAGATCACCAGTGTCGAAGCAAGGATTCTTCAACAACAACTTCGTTGGACTGGTCATGTTGTGTGGATGCCTGATTATCGTCTTCCAAAGCAACTACTCTATTCCAAACTTAAAAATGGAAAGGGTAGTGCCGGTGGTCAACAAAAGAGGTTTAAAGACTCCCTCAAGGCAAATCTGAAAAAAATGTAGTATAAACACTGACAACTGGGAAACACTGGCCTGCAAGCGCTTCAATTGGAGAACAGCCTTTACCAAAGGTGCCATGGACTTTGAAGATGGTCAAACTCAAAACAAAAGGGAGAAACGTACTAAGAGGAAAGCATGCTTGGCAAACCCTCACTGTGGAAGGATGTGTGGATCCAGAACTGGCCTCCACAGTCACTTAAGGACTCAATGTTAGTAGCACATGGGCAGACGAGTCTAAAAAGCCTGGGACCCAAATTTTCATGGCCCTAGAGCAGCAATAGTGGCTCATTTACCAGAAGTACAGTGGTACCTCGGGTTACATACGCTTCAGGTTACATACGCTTCAGGTTATAGACTCCGCTAACCCAGAAATAGTACCTCGGGTTAAGAACTTTGCTTCAGGATGAGAACAGAAATCGTGCTCCGGCGGCGCAGATGTTGACAAGCTGGAACGTGTGCAGAGGAGGGCAACCAAGATGGTCAAGGGTCTGGAAACCAAACCTTATGAGGAACAGTTGAAAGAGCTGGGTATGTTTGGTCTACAAAAGAGGAGTCTGAGAGGAGATATGACAGCCATCTTCAAATATCTCAAAGGCTGTCACATGGAAGAGGGAACAAGCTTGTTTTCTCCTGCTCAGGAGGGTAATACCTTGAGGCAATGGCTTCAAGTTGCAAGAAAGGAGATTCCGACTAAACATTTGGAAGAACTTTCTGACAGTAAGAGCTGTTCAGCAGTGGAACAGACGCCCACGAGAGGTGGTGAACTCTCCTTCCTTGGAGGGTTTTAAACAGAGGTTGGATGGCCACCTGTCATGGATGCTTTAGCTGAGATTCCTGTATTGCAGGGGGTTGGACTAGATTACCCGTGGGGTCCCTTTCAACCCTATGATTCAATCCCACAAATACGATGAGCCCAGACAACAGGTGAATCGTCCAGAGATGGACACCACCACTGAGGCTCCCATTCGCCTCCAAAACACAGAGGCATCCAAGGACCTCTGAAGATCTTAAGCAGGCATCCACAACCTTCGGCCCTCCAGATGTTTTGGACTACAATTCCCACCATCCCTGACCACTGGTCCTGTTAGCTAGGGATCATGGGAGTTGTAGGCCAAAACATCTGGAGGGCCGAAGGTTGCGGGTGCCTGATCTTAAGGAAGATTCAAGCAGGCGGTCCTTTTGATATCTGCCCCCACTTCACATGTGGTCAGAAGAAATTGGTTGGATGACTCAACTGACTTCCAGCTTGTGTCCATTTTGCCTGCCCTCATTTCCAAGCCTGTTCTGTCCTGCTTCTGCGGGCTTTTCTTCCTTTCACAACTGCACAAATATTTTGCATTTAAGTTGCATGCGTTCTTGTATGCACCTTCCCCTAGGTTTGTGGGCCAGCTAGGTGGCTTCTCTCCTAGCAATGGAGGAGATTTTGTTTGGTCTGTGTATATTAAAGACAACTGGCCAAATTCCCAATTTCCTGGACAATGAGATGGTACATACACATTCATATTTTTTTTTGTCCATTTACTTCTCCATCAAACGGCCTCGGTCCAGTATACCTGAAGGAGCGTCTCCACCCCATTGTTCTGCCCGGACACTGAGGTCCAGCACCGAGGGCCTTCCGGCAGTTCCCTCACTGCGAGAAGCCAAGTTACAGGGAACCAGGCAGAGGGCCTTCTCGGTAGTGGCACCCTCCCTGTGGAACGCCCTCCCACCAGATGTCAAAGAGAAAAACAACTACCAGACTTTTAGAAGACATCTGAAGGCAGCCCTGTTTAGGGAAGCTTTTAATGTTTGATGTATTACAGTATTTTAATATTTTTCTGGAAGCCGCCCAGAGTGGCTGGGGAAGCCCAGCCAGATGGGCGGGGTATAAATAATAAATTATTATTATTATTATTATTATTATTATTATTATTATTATTATTATTATCATTCTTCCATAATGGAACCAAATGCTGTTTATGCACTGACCAGACCCAGACCCGATTTAGCTTCCCCAAAGTGAGGGCCTCATTTGCCTCTAGTCTAGACCATAACCCTGGGACTTAAAGGAAGAGAAAGACAAGTATTTGTTATGAAACCAGATTTATTAAACCTTTTTGTACAGGAATTCTCCAACATCATCATGTCGATTTTCAAATATGTACATTATTTACAAACATCCAACACAGTGTTATTAGCATGGTACCTACCAATATATACAGATTCATAGGCAAGTTTGTGGATATTTTTTTTCTTTTTAAAAAAAACACAACAACAACTGTATCACAGATACAAATATATTAAAGCAATCACAAGAGCTTTAGTGCAATCAAGGTCAAAAATTAAAGTTTCACCTCTAATTCTCTTGATTCTATCAAGTTAGTATTGCCAGCCATTAATTCACATTTAAATGCTCTTTTGACACCTCGGGTTTTGGGACACTCACACACACCTCTACAGTCATTAAGAAAAGACAAAACCGATCAGAAGATGGCAAGACATTATGTGGGAAGGTTGATAGCAGATGAGGTATAAACAGATCACAAGAGCACAGTGGCTCCACCCTTTTGACAAAGCTAAGCCTTAAGAAATAGTAGGATTCTTAAGCAACGTCCACATTTGGTACTTTGAATTCTGGGCTAAACAGGTATACCCAACCAGCTTTTCCCCACAAAGAATTCTGGGAACTGTAGTCCCATGAGACTAGCAATCTCAAGACAGCCCCAGCAGAAATACATTTCCCAGAGTTCCTTGAAAGGCAAAGATAGTTTGCTGGTAGCATATTCCTGCTGCTGATGAATACATCAGTTTCAGATATGGGATAAAGGTGTTTTTGAAACAAAACTTGGTTGGCGGGTGTTTACACACACACACCCTTGCAAGCAAGTCAACAAGAGATGTTAATCCACAGAGCTGTCTGCTAGCCGGTTGACCCACACATTTTTCCACAGGGCACACCAACCGCCTCTGAGAAAGGAGAACCAACCGTCTCCCAAATGAACAAAAGTTTCCCTCTCTAGTTCTCTGGGTGATTTCCAGCTCACCCCGGGGCAAGTACCTATTTGCACAAACCGGAGCAGTCGCCTTTGTCAGGAGGAAGTTCATTACCGCATCCAGGAAGCAAATGCTTATTCAAGTGTATTCATTATTCCACAAGAACTGGAGATACAAAAAACAACCACCACCAGTTAACCTCCAGTGGTACATGAACATTTAATAAGGGGAAGAGATTTCCAGAGGGAGATTACTCTTGAACAGCCTGATGGGAAGGTGAGGACACTGTTTAGAAGCTTACCGAAATGAGGATTTGTTTTTGTTTTCCTTCTTGTGCAAAAGAGTGGTGCAAGGCATCAAGAGCAGAGCCCACACCCTGCCAACACAAACGTTGTTTCGGTATATGTAATAAGATGGGGCTTCTATTTGCCTCTCAGGTTCAGGTTGGGACACTCTGGGCTGGTGTTTTGGCATTCAGAATAGATATACTGGGCTACTTTTGGAGCGACACCTTCACACAGGAGCGCCAGGCAAGTTCCTTAGGATCATTTGCCTCAGAAACCAAAAATGTCATGTTTTATAGCAAGGATGAGGAAGACCTGTGTCCCTTCAGATAGCTGATGGACTCCCAACTCCCACCATCCCAGGCCGGCATAGTCAATGGCCAGGAATGATGGGAATTCTAGTCCAACTGGAGGAGAACCACAGGTTTTCTCTCACCGCTGGTTTAAAGAGCTCAGAGACGTGCAACACCAAGGCCGGAAGTAAGCTTTAAATCTGCACCCACCAAGGACCAATTCTAGCACTTAACAGAGGACACATTCATCAACCAAGTCAAGGAGATTGCTGCATCTGACCCAGCAATGTCTCCTCCAACTGCTAGCAGTTCTTCAGAGGCTCAGGAATAAATACCTCCGGACCCGTGGGGTGGGGCTGTGTTGTTGCTGGACTACAACTCCCATCATGCTTGACCACTGGCTGATGGGAGGGCAGAATATGAAGTTCCCCTTATGCTACATAGATACACTTTTCACTGGAGATGCCAGGGAGCTGTTTTGAGAACGCAAACCACAATTCCTCCTTTTCTTGTCTTACGCAATGAGGCAATGCGGTTGGTTAGTTCAATGTCGGACCAGAAAGTTCCTGATCAGATGGGAAGATCAAGTCCCACTAAGCCTTGGGCAGGTCCCTACCTCCACCTGTTTGCCTTCAGCATCCCCATCTGCGAAATGGGCACAGCGGTGCTCTGCCTTCCAAGATTATAAGGCTATGTACACAGGTGCCAGCAGCAGTATTGCATCACCTAACAAGTGCACCCCATTTTATGGCTAAGACACATCTGGCAGAGGGGTTTTTTTGGGGGGGGGGGCTAGCTGGCCAATTCAGGTTTTCCGTAACCCTTCGTAAAGGCTTACACACCTCCTTAGAACAGGCATGGCAGAGGAGGAGGAATAGGGCCAAAGGGAGAGAATGTCAAAAGGAAACCTCACCTATAAGTAAGAAATCTGAGAACTGCTCCCCTTAAGGAGGAGTCCTCAAGTCTGCTAAAGAATTGGCTCCAAGGGAAATCGGATGTGGAAGCATTTGGAGACAGAAAGACAAGATTTGCTACCTGCACCATCACACAAGAGACAGGGGACTCCAAGGTTGTAGGGGCTTTTGTGGCAGTTCAGGAGGCACCAACAGTCCTGATCTCATCAATCAAACAGACATTCCTGGTTTAGGCTGATAATGGGTTAGGAACGGGGTGGTCTGACGTTCAAGCCAATGGCACAAATCCTCATTGTTTTAAGAGCCCCCGTATTCCAAAGCAAAACAATTCCGGTGCAAAGTCCACCCCAAACCATTAAAGTCCCAAGAATTCAGAGAGGAGCCCAATTCATCCCACAAGACGCATGGCCAAATTCTACAGCTGCCTGATTTATCCACACCTTGGCTAGCACAAAGCCGTTACAGCTCTGTCGAAAAGCCAACGAGCTACAGTTTAGTTGAGGTTTAGATTTTGAATGGGGGGAAAGGCAAATTTGACAAACCAAGTAATTCCAGGTTAATCGCCTCCTGGAGAGTTGAAAACGGTCAAATGGTTTTCAAGCCGCAAACTTTGAAATGCAGCTAAGAAAAGGAACTGGCAAACTGGAGGCAGAAGGGGGTGATTCTCACATGTCAGGAGACGCAAGCTCAAAACCAGTTAGATAATCTTAGCTACAAAAATAGACAATCCGGCTGATTATTATTTTTTGCACCGTGACTATCACAAGCCCCCCGCCTAGCACTTCAAGAACTGTGCCTGTATTTTCTCTTACATCACCAGTGAGGAGATTCTGTAATCTAAGCCAGCCCAGAGCCCTGTCACTTTGATGGATGAGAGACAGAGCAATCCAGTTGGCCCTTCTGTAGTTTCGACAACAATATAACCTTGCCTGCAGAACAAGGCTGTGTGCATCTGAACATGGAACCAAGAAGCTACAAGGTGTTTTGCTTTTTCTTAAAAAACCAGCCAACAAAGACTGCAAACTTCAGACTGCTTATTCCAGACAGCCCTGTGTGTAAAATTCCCCACTGAAGTTCAGAGCAAACTTTCAAAGTCACAGCCTAGAAGTCCCAGGCCGAAACGCATTTTGCAAAGGTCCATTTGCTCCAGAGTAAGTCCCACAGGGATCCAAATGGGAATTCGTGAAGCAGGCGAAGGTGATGTCAATCTCCTACTTGCAAGGGTACTACTGTCCTGACCGCAGCTCAATTTTTGGGAAGGACCACAGAAAACGAAGACAGAGGCTAGAAATTTAAAGACTGCACGAGAGTGTGAGAGGCTTCTTGTCCCCCGAGGCAAAAACCCAGAGCTAGCAAAAGAAGGAGCTAATGTCGTCGTCCTCGCTGGATTTCTCCGGAACAACCTGATCGGAGGCTCTCATGTCCTGGTTGGCGTAACCAGATTCCAAAACAGAGTCAAACCAAGGATGGAGCAAGATTTCTGGAGCTGTGAGTCTCTCAGAGGGCTCCCTCCTGAGTAGGCTTCGGATAAGGCAACGGGCTTTGGGAGAGACGTGGTCCGGAATGCAGAACTGTCCGCGCCGGATTTTAGAAAAGAGGGCAGTAGGGTCCGAGTCATGGAAGGGGTAACGTCCCACGAGGAGGGTGTATAGCATGACTCCTAAGCTCCAGACGTCAGCCGACTTGCCGGAATAAGTCCCCATCGTGTTAAGGATCTCTGGGCTGACGTAGGCTGGGCAGCCGTGCTTGTCCGACAAGGCATCGTCCTCCCCTTTGATGATGTGTGTGTCCTCCAAGCTTTCGAGCCGGAGCTGCGTCCTGGAGAAGAGGAAAGAGATTGAGGCATCAGTTACCAAGCAAGGCCAGGAACTGGCACAGAGGAGGAAAGTTGACCGGGGGGTGGGGAAAATGGTATCATTGCATGCAGGAGCTCCCAGTTTCAATCCCAGAGATGTCCCGGTAGGGCTGGGACAGTCTGCTGTCTGAAACCTTGGACAGCTGCTTCCAGTCAGTTTGGACAATACTGAAGGGACTTTTTATCATATGTGGTGGGAATGTAGAGAAGTTAAAAAAAATTGGGAAATGATATATAATGAATTGGGGGGGGGGAAATGTTTAAAATGACATTTGTAAAAGAAACCAGAAACATTTTTGTTAGGGATTGTAGGACAAGACCTGCCAAGAAAAACAAAGAATTTATTTATGTATGCTACAACAGCGGCAAAAGTCTTGATAGCAGAAGGAAGGAAGAATGAGGAAACCCCGACAAAAGAACAGTGGCAAGAAAAACTGATAAGCTATGCAGAGTTGGCTAAATTGACATACAAACTGCAGGACAAGGACAATTGTGACTTTAAGGAAGAATGGGAACTTTTTACAAATTATCTAAAAAGGGAAGTTTTTTTGGGGGGGGAGGAGGGATGGAAGGGGGGGGAAATAATGTATGTGATTATATGGTTTGATAACTTGTTATGCTGAAATTGCTTAATAAAAAGATTTTTTTTAAAAAAGGCAATACTGAGCTAGATGGACCAATAAGACAGTTTCCCTAGTCGCTTTTCCACACGAGGGCAAGCAAAATGGGTCACAAGAGTAGGACAGAAACACAAGGAAGGCACGCCAACACGTAATTTCAACCAAAGGGTCCAGCAATGGTGGTGGACTCCTTCATTGTATGTTTTTAAGCAGAGGTTGGCTATGAGAGGCTTCAATTGAGATTCCTGCATTGCTCTACGCTTCTCTCAACCTATCAGATCTCAAAATACATGAACCAGAGTCAGGGATGATAACATAACCAAGAGCCAGTTCCTCAAGACTGGCAAGTGTAGGGAATTGGCAAACAGTTTCGTCACATCCTGGAGATAAGAACCGCCCCCTTCCCAAATGACAGCGACTATGTTGTATCCTGGGACACGGGTGGTGCTGTGGGTTAAACCACAGAGCCTAGGACTTGCCGATCAGAAGGTCGACGGTTCGAATCCCCACAACAGGGTGAGCTCCCGTTGCTCGGTCCCTGCTCCTGCCAACCTAGCAGTTCGAAAGCACATCAAAGTGCAAGTAGATAAATAGGTATCGCTCCAGCGGGAAGGTAAATGGCGTTTCTGTGCGCTGCTCTGTTTTGCCAGAAGCGGCTTAGTCATGCTGGCCACATGACCCGGAAGCTGTACGCCGGCTCCCTCGGCCAATAAAGTGAGATGAGCGCCGCAACCCCAGAGTCAGCCACAACTGGACCTAATGGTCAGGGGTCCCTTTACCTTTATGTTGTATCCACGACCTGTACCAAAAATGGAAGACTTGCTCAAAACTTTTGGATTAAGGATCTAATTCTGTGTGTTCAGAATGAAGTCCTACGGAACTCAGTGAGGGTTACTCCCAGGGTAAGCGAGCTTAGGTTTGCAGCTCCACCGATCAGAAACCATTACACACAAACTGCTGAGGAAAGGTTTCTGCATGTCGTGCTCATCATTGGTTGACTGTAGCATCAAGAAGTGACTCAAGCTATGATGAATGGGATGCCTCAGATCACAGACCACAGCCAGAACTTTCATGATCACCCACCAAATGAAAACACAAAGGCAAGGCTTTTTGACTGAGACAAGTCACACGCTCCGGGAGAGGAGAGATTATGCACGTGAAGGAATGAGCCGGACGGGAATATAGTTCTTGATGTCAACACCATGAGACAACTGAGCCACTCAGGACCACTTCAATGGTGCAGGGCAATTTCCCTGGGCAAATAATATATCAGAGAAACACACCGCGAAGACACTCACAGACCTCACTCTGTGACTGCCACACCTACCGATGCCAGCACTCAGGTGACACAGCTCGGTAGGTGAAGCACAAGACTCGTGCTCTCGGGGTTGTGGGTTTGAGCAAAATGTTCCTGCATTCCAGGGGATTGGACCAGACGCCCCACGTGGCCCCTTCTGAATCTCCAATTCTACAAGAACATTACTCGATTGCTCCGGCCTTGAGGATTTCAGTGCGACGATGCCAAATTCACAGGGCAGAGATCCTGGGCTGAAGCCAGCCGAGCCCCGGTGACGTCAAGCCTTAACTGGCTGGTGGATCGCAGCCAAAACCCACATCCCTTTTGTTCCTGATATAGTCACAACACTTTGGGCTCAGATACGCATTGCCACCACACACACAAACACACATACAAACGGGCCTTGCAGGGTATATACCCTGCTTTTAAGCAAACCCCCCATTTCCCAGAGCTTTTCACCATTTAAGTTGCCGTTTTTTACGTTAAGTTGGTTAGATATTCTCTGGCTCCTGCAGGGCTCCCCGCTCAGTAAGCCTTCCTTACAGTTTTGTTGGGCCTGTAAAATGCATTGATTTGCTCGCTGTCCTCAGGGTGACCTTCCTGTCCTCTAATGCGAAAGATTCCTCTCCCCTCCCTCCCCAACTCCACCGGATGGTTTTCTAAGCGGAAAATATGACTCAACCTACCCTCGCCTGCCCTCCCACTGCCTGGCAGGGCATCCAAACTCTGCACCTGTGCTTGCCAGGCTAATTGCTTAACCCTCTGATTACCAAACAGGGAAGCACATGATACGCTCCCTGCGCAACGCTTCAGTTTCCAAATTCGCAGCACTGGATGCAAGCTGCTATTTTGGCTAGCGGTTGTTGGGGGGGGTTGCTTTTCTCTACATGACAACTTGTCATTTCTGCCGCGAAACTATAAATCTGCAAGCAGGGAGGGCAGAGAATTATTTGGCTACAAGGCTCCTCCAGTCTCGATTTTTGCTCACCAGGGCGATGGTTCGTACATGCATGCCCCCCCCCCGGCTCTTAGGTGTTATTCAGTAGCTGATGACTTGGGAGCAGAATGCGTGATCCAGTTTCACTTTTGGGGGGGGGTTGGGCTAGGGGGCACACTGGGTGAAAATGCAGGCTCCGTTTGTGGCGCTTTGATCATTCCAGCCACCCCATAATGCTCACGCTCAGCACTTCCATAAATAAGATCAGAGCGGGGGTTTTTTTTTAAAAAAAGAAAGAAAATCCGCAGTCTGCTCTGCAATTGATTGGCATACATGGCACACAATTTGAACTCACTTCCTAGGGCAGATGCCAAGTCCTGCAATAGATTACTAAGTCCTTTCGACCCCTCAAAAAAAAATAAAAAATTACACTCACTACTAGATCTTTTTTAAAAAAAGCAGAAAACAAATTTGTGTTGTTGCACCTGCCTATCCCTCCATGCCCATTGACATTTTGAAAGTAAAAACTAAACCAAATAGCATTAATAATAATAATAATAATAATAATCAAAACAAACAAAAAAATTCCTTCCAGTAGCACCTTAAAGACCAACTAAGTTAGTTCTTGGTATGAGCTTTCGTGTGCATGCTCATACCAAGAACTAACTTAGTTGGTCTTTAAGGTGCTACTGGAAGGAATTTTTTTGTTTGTTTTGACTATGGCAGACCAACACGGCTACCTATCTGTAACTAATAATAATAATAATACTCTGGGTGGCTTCCAACAGGTATAAAAACTTAACAAACTATCTCTCAAAGTTCCTCGCTCTGCAATGTCAGGCCCCCTCTCTCCAAACAAACGAAACTAGATTGCATGCAGAAGCCCCCAGATTCAATTCCCAGCATCTCCAGTTAGCGTGCCGGGGGGGGGGGGGGGCACGACACCCTGCCTGAAATCCTGGACAGCTGCTGCCAGTCAGTGTAGACAGTACTGAGTATAAGTCAGCTTCCTGTTTTCCTAGATTTACTGTGGTGTTTATTGTGGGGCGGCTGTACGAAATCAGAACTTAGGAAATGCAACCGCCACCTCTTTCGTACAGTGGCTGGAAGCCTCCAAAATGGCTAGAAGCTCGCTTCCCTGCGTCTCAAGCCTCCTTTAGATGGCATTGCACACGGGAAATACGTGATATTCTGCACCAAGAAAGCGATGTGGGCAAATTGAATGCAAAAAGGAGCCTTGCAAACAAGCTGCCCTTCAGGGACTGCTCTGCCAGGCTGAACCAAAACTTCCTTATTCCTGTCCAGGAGCAGATTCTCCCACCTGTTTGGAGGTTACTGTGTGGGGTGCCTTGAAGCAGATCAGAGAATCCAGGGGTTATATGTTTGAAACGATTGGAGAAACAAAACCTGCGGGAGCTTAACAGCCACCTTTACGAAGGAGAAACCATCAGAATGATGCACAGTCATAAACATCACCCCAACGCAGGCTGCAATTTGCACACTCCCTAAGATCCAACAGCTGACTATGGCATCACTTCAAAGTAATGCGTGGATTGCAGCCCTCAAGTGTGAAACTGTTTCTGCTGATGTCAAAAGCAGAACTCCCACAGAGTTCAAATGGGCTGGAGTTTCACACCTATTCCGGGCTGCCCACATAACACCCAACTGCAGGTTATCTTCAAAGAGTTTTGCAAAAGCTGCCAACACTTTAGCAGCAGCAGCAGCAACCTCTTCTCCTCATTTTCAGTTGTATGCATATATATTTATAACACACACAGAGAGAGACAGATGAGGCTCCATGCTTCTTGCACCACTTTTAAACAGTCGACCCCTTCCCATGGCCTGTATATACAGAGTGAAAACTGCATCAATCCTGTGGACAACAGTACGCCAGGTCTGCAAAAAGAAGCAGAGCAAAGCAACCAGGTACGGATTGCAAGGCTGAGCACCGTTTGTGAATCAAGAGCTGGTTTCTAGAAGATGTGCTCTCTCTCCAGCGTTAGAAATTTGCCAGCCGCATTTTGCACCTCGCTATCGACCACTCGCCACCAAGCGAAGGCACCCAACGTCTCCTCCATCTGGAAGTGCGTGTCTGGGGATCCTTGGATCCTGACCGTTTTTCGCACGCTAACGACACATCCTGCAGATTCCTACCCCTTCTAATTTTATCTGCACAAGCAGAATGAATTTCAGGAGCTGCAAAGTCATGTTGAAAAATACAACTCTTGAGCAGCCTGGCCACAAAATGGCAACTGGGCATTGTGTTTTGGCAACTGTAACCCTGGTTTAAGTAGCTATTTGGCGCCTAGCTTATATATCGGAGTTTCTATGAAGATGATGGACATTTCGGAGCTAGCCGACCTCACCGGAAGAGTCCGCGACCAGAAGGAATGGAGGAAATTCAAAGACTATTTAGTTAAATATGCTAAGATAATTTAAATAGAAATACTTGCAAACACCAGATAGGCTCAGGATTTAAATATGTGATGTTATAGAATAACATGTTTACATTTAATATGAAAAGAAAAAAAGACGTTAATTGATTCAAGTAAATTTTATGAGAAATTTGTTTTGGAAAACTGTTACAATGATATATGTTGAAACTCAGCCAGGGGGATTTGAGGAAGTCACGTAACAATGTTATTAGGAGTGGAATAATTACAGTTAGGATTTATGTTTATAAATTTTGGAAAATCAATACATTTTTTGAAATATATATATATATATATATATAGAGAGAGAGAGAGAGAGAGAGAGAGAGAGAGAGAGTGTGTGAGTGTGTGTTTCTAATACTGGCTCTCCCCCACCAACCCCATACAAATCCCTCCCTGAGCATATGTACAGCTATGGGTAACTGGACAATCATGGGACTGAGAGCAATCTCAGCCGTGTCTCTGCTTCCAGTAGCTTGTGTCACGTGACAGCTGCAATAACACAAACCCTGGCCAACCCTGGATAGTTAACTACATGCCTGTTCAAATGCAATGGAAATCCATGCTCTAGGGAAAGGAGGGTGGGGGGAGGAATCTGTGTTGGACTGCGGACACAGGAGTTGCACGTTGCTGAGGCTCACCCCCAACCATTGTTCTGAGAGCGCCAGCGTTGTGTCAGCGTCAGACCCATGGGATCTGACTGCATAGCTTGACTCCTGAATATCAGTAATGCCTTGAACAATTCATCGCAAGTACACACTGTGCCAACTGCAACCCATTTCTCTCGCTTCACCACCCCCAGCCAACACAATTCTCATTCACGGTCCGTGCCCAAATGTAAACCATTTGAATATGCAATACTTAAGAATGACACCAAGGTGTAATTTGCTGCCGTCCTGCCAGACACCTAGCCCTGTAATCTCAACGAGACCTGGAGTAACACATGACCCAGCGCAACCCACAAACCAGCTGAGCCAGTCTCCGCGCACCTGAACCAATGACCCACCTCAACGAAATCAAGACAAAGCTTTTCGGATTCTACACGGTTTAAGTCCACCTGCGTTCAGGGGAGCTCTCGCTTATAGGTCGAACTTGAGAAAGCACCCTCTCAGTCCTGATCAGTATTCCTTTGCTTGCAAAGGAAGCAGCTTAGGAGCAACTTCACAGATGGAAACCTCCCTACAAAGGGGTGCCACGAGGTAATGCATCGTCCACAAACACAACGCAAGATTTAATTTCATCGCAGGCATGCAGGTTGGGAAATCAGGATTTGGCAAAGAAATTCCCGACTTCGGTACGTGCCATCTGCACATATGATGGAATGTATGTTTTCTCCCACACCTAAATAAAATTGTCGGAAGCTTGGTGGTCCCCATCTAAAGCTGGAAAACTCAGCGCACTACTCTGGCAGATGGATAGCTCAGCTGGTTAGAGCATGGTGCTGATGACGTCAAGGTTGCAAGTTCGATCCCCCCATGAGATACTTGCCTATTCCTGCATTGCAGGCAGGGGTTAGATCAGGCATGGCCAAACATGGCCCTCCAGATGTTTTGGGACTACAACTCCCATCATCCCTAGCTAACAGGACCAGTGGTCAGGGATGATGGGAATTGTAGTCCCAAAACATCTGGAGAGCCAAGTTTGGCCATGACTGGACTAGATGATCCCTCCCAACTCTACAATTCCACAATTTCCCTGGACGGCGGGATGTAGCACAAATAACAAATTCATTGAGTTACGATAAAGAACAGCCCCCAAGAGGCCAAGATCCAAAGAACAACTCAGTTAGCCCACTGCACCCGCCCCGGATTCAGGAACTGTGTGGGGCGTCAATTTGCTTTAGCTGCTGAGCGTAGAATCAAAATCCAACTAGAAGAAGAAGAAGAGGAGTTTGGATTTGATATCCCGCTTTATCGCTACCCGAAGGAGTCTCAAAGCGGCTAACATTCTCCTTTCCCTTCCTCCCCCACAACAAACACTCTTGTGAGGTGAAGTTTGGAGGAAGTTAGAGAGAGACTTACAAGAGATCGTGACCCCTACGGCCCAAAAGCAGCACAATAGGTCTTCAGAAACAAGGCAGACTGCATGTGGAAGGAGCGGGAGAAAGTACCTGACGAACCACACGGTTCCTCCCAGTAAAAGACTACACGTCCTTAAACCACTACACCAGCACATGGCTCTCAAAACTCAAGCACGGTATCACCAGCTAAAAATGAATAACTTCTGGATCAACTTGCCAGAAAAAGAGGACATGATGGGTGGCAACCTACCACATACTAAAAAACCGTCCCGTGAAAACGTTGTATTTTGAAAACGTTTTAAAAAAAACAGTCCAATTCTGCATAGCTCAGTTTCACCCATCTAGTGTCCACATTTGTATATTGCAGTTTGCAACTGCCTTTAAACCGATTCTCTACCTTGCAGTGGTGTAGCATGAGTCCTACGGCGACTTCGCCCCCACCAAAAACTACCTGTCGACCAGGTCAAACCTTCTCTCCTAAGAGGCTTCTATGCCAATACAGGTACGCAACTTGCAGCCAGTGGGCCAAATCTGGCCTTGCAACCCCCAGCTACAGAGCAGAGGGGTGCGAATACAGGGAATGCAGGAATCTGGCATGCGTTTGACGAGTGAGGCATTTGATCCTCCTAGCTCAGTACTGACAAGCAACAGGTTTCCAGGCGAGGGACGCCCCCAGCTCCACCTTGAGACACTGGGACTTGAACCTGGGACCTTCTGCATGCAAAGCAAATGTTCTACCACCAAGGAATGCCCCTTCCCCTGCAAAGCCCTGGGGGAAAGTCGTGGCTTTTTTGCCCTCCGCCCAAACCAGCCGAAGAAGGAGCTCTCCCCAGAGTGTACGGGGAATGTTAAGACAACCACGAACCCTTTGCTCACCTTTCTTCACTAGAAAACACAAACTTCCTGAGCTTGAGGTCCCCCAGCACAATGGCGGACTGGTGGCAGTGGGCAACCGCCGAGACGATCTGCTTGAAGAGCCTGGCCGCCTCCTGCTCTGGAAGACGCTTGCAGCTCCTGACGTAGGAATGCATGTCGCCAAAGTCCTTATCGAAGAAGACGTAGGCTTTCGTCTCCCCGAGAATCACTTCCACGATCCCGGTGATGTTTCTGTGCGACGGCAGCTGGATGTAAGGTCGGATCTTGTCCTGGTAGTGTTTGAGGGGGAAGACCTGGAAAAAGAGGGCCAAGGGGAGAGCTGTGGTTAGAGAACGGGGATTCGCCAAAGGGGTTTTCATACCGAGAAAATCTAAGCGGATGGACATAGCTTGAAACATCCACCGCCTTCAAGCAGCAGTGGAGAACTTGCAGCCTTCCAGATGTTGTGGGACTACAGCTCCCATCCTCCTTGACTGTTGGCCATGGCTGATGGGAGTTGTAGTTCAGCAACCTCTGGAGGGCCAAAGGTTCCCTTCTCCCTGTTTTAAAGCATTAGAAATCAAAGAGGGAGCAGGTGGCATAAATTGCAGAGAAGGAGGAATGACGTGCTGTTTAAAAGGGGCAGAGAATGGGAAGTCGGGAGGGTGATTATTTAAAAAAAAAGAATTACACATTTTCTTAATGGTGTCTGTTGAGATAAATGGATTTCAATGAAATGCACAAGGGTTTGCGTGCTGATAAATTCGTGGACCATGGCATGCATATCAACAGCTACCAGCCAGAAGAACTGGAGAGCTTCCACTTGGGAGTGGCCGTATATCTGGAATTGTTACTGGAAAGAGGTGTGCCCAGCCAGAGACATCTGGTTGGCTGCTGATGGAATCGGAAGGCTGAACTCATCTAGACCAGGGTTTCCTAAACTTGGGTCCTCCTGCTCTTTTTGGACTACAATTCCCATCATCCCTGACCACTGGTCCTGCTGGCTAGGGATGATGGGAGTTGTAGTCCAAAACCAGTTGGAAACTCAAGTTTGGGGAAACCCACAAAGTAGTATCATCCCCAGACCCAAGGCATTTGCATAGCAACACCCCTTTCTGTCCCACGCCAGCTTGAAACGCCGGCCAATTCCTAGTTCTGCACACTCACAATTACTGAAAAGAAAGGAAACCCCATTTTCAGCACCAACACCAAGCCGGGCAAACTGCCAGAAACCTCCTGAAAGCAAAGCGCCCAAGTTACATGTAAGCTCAGTTCCTGAGGCTTCTCTGCTAGCCCTGAAAAAGTACCTCTGGGTATGCAGTGGGAAAGAGAGAGAGAAAGGAGCTGGGAGAGGCATTTAAAACCCTCCACCCTCCAATCTGTCTGCGGTGATTCAGACAAAGGCGATGGTGACCGAGCTCCCATTTCGGAGCATGCCAAACTCTGAGCAAGGGAAGGAGAGGATTAAAAGCCTCTCTCATGCTTTATTCACAGATGTTTTGCAAGACTTTGGGCATGTTCTCCGGCTGACCTGCAAGGGCTCTGCTGGGTTACTCACATCCTAGGCCTGACTGGAAACTGTGACGTACACACAGAGTGTCATCATTCCAGTCCAGGCAACCCGGCAAGAGACTCCTCACCGTGGGAGCCCCATCGTCCTTTCCTCCCTTCCCAACTTAACTCCCTGTCCATGTCATTTCAGCTGTCTCCAGTTACTGCAAACGAGAGAAGTGTACGGAAAATTAACAGTCACCGAATCTCAACTAAAGCATCCATCAGTGGCTATTGGCCCTTATTGCTCTAGTATCAGAGGTGTTTATGCCAGGCTGCATACAGATCATACATTTAAAGCACATTCTTTCCCTCAAATTCTTCTAGGTACTGAGGCTTAGCTTCCACTGAGCTACAATTCGCAGCAATCCTTAAACCGGTGAGTCCAGTCACAATCAGTCTATCAATGGCCTGGTTGAGCTATTCCAATGGAAAGAGATTCCTTGCTTGGGGGCGATCTGTGGGGCTGCTTGCAAAGCTCGATTAAAAGATCCTTGCAGCCCGACCTCCTGGGCGCTTTCACAAGCAGAAATAGGTCAGAACTGCTACGATAAAGTAAACCAAGGAGCAGCAAACTAAGCCGTGTCGCCACTAATTTGGCATGCAATATCCACTGAAACCTTGGGCACATTTTCTCTGTCCCCTGCCGCTTAACAAAGCCTAAATAGGGGGAAGTGAAATACATGATTATTCTCCCCGTGTTAATTCCTGCCTCCTTCCCTGCCCTGTACTGAATCTTGTCCTTTCATATTTTCTAAAATCTGTTGAAGAGACCTGTGTAACTCAAAAGCTTGCCTCCCGGTTTGAAGATGAAATCAAACGCATCTCGCTTGTTCCAGGCTATGCAACTGTTAAGTGCTGCAATCATCCAGGGACTTGCTCCAGAACCATCTCATTTATTTTAATGGGTTTGCTGCAGAGCGAACAAGTGCGGGAAGGCCGTCCAAGTCTCCACAACTGCGCCTCCTATGAGAGAGCCTGCAAACAGCAGGTGGCAGCAGTAAACCCCATCTCTCCAGCTCCTGCCCTGCTCAAAGAGACTGGGGAACTATTCAAGGACAGGGTGAGTGTGCGCGTTTTATTTAAAGAGCTGAGGACACCTCATGGAAAACTTGGAAAGCTCTGCTAGTCTCAGCCAATTCCTGCTTGCGTACTATTCTGCAGGAGGGAAGCGGAAAACAGAGGAGGATGACGGAGGAGAAACTTAACCCTTCTTTGTCAAGTGTGGGGAATCTTTCCAGATGGCTTCCAACGCCCCCCCCCCAAAAAAAAACCGAACGCGGAGAAATCCAGCCCTGGTCTCTGCACGGATCTTCACAAAAAGAACACAATCTAAGGTTGCAAAGTTCTGCCGGCTCAGTGCAGCCCCGACCTAATTCGTCTACATCATGTTTTGCAGATATTTGCCTGCTGGCACCATCATTACATAAATCCAGCGCCCACTACGATCCTATTTCCCTTCACAAGCCCATTCTTACACGCGTTTACTCGGAAAGAAGCCCAAACCACGCTCAATGGCACTGACTCGCGAGAAAGCGCGTCTAGGCATCCACATCCTTTCGGATCACGGGAATTCCAGCAACGTGTGGAGCCTAGGAGCTTGCCAGTGGGTCACCAATCCGTGTTGCTTCAAATTCTGCCCCCAACCTTCCACCCCGCGCACGAGAGTCCCGATCCACGCGCCACTTAAGCCCGAGGAGATTCTGATTCAGAAGACCCGATTCGGCTCGCGTGTGAAAACACCGGGTTTTCAAGGCTGTTACGCACGCTTTCCTCAAGGTAGCCAAGTTCCACTGAAGTTTACTCAATGGAGCTTGCTTCCTCCCTTCCGAGCGCAATCGCCGACGGCGCGGCCGAGGCTGGCCGGTCCCCCCGCTTTCCAAGGCGCAGAGGGGGCTCCCCCCAGACACGAAGAAAGGCTCGGACGCCCGTCCGAAGCGTCCCCGGCGGCGCTTACCTTGCAGCGCAGCTCCCGTCCGGTGTTGATGTCGAGCGCCCTGGAGACGTGATCCCGGTCGGGCAGGGGCAGCAAGAGGTAACCGGCGACCAGGCTGGGGCCCTGCGCGCTGCCGTTCCCTCCGGGGGTGCCCGCAACCGAGCCGCCACCTCCGGGGGCCGGAGAGACCGGCCCGCAGGGCGATCCGGGCGCGCTGAAGCAATCGTGGGGCGCCGCCGCCGCGCTGGAGCAGTCGACAGCGAGGCGAGCGCACTTGGCGGCGGGCGGCGCGTCCTCGGCGCCGTCGTGCAGCAGGAGCCGCTTGGCGGGCGCGCACCGGCAGCGAGGGCCTCCCGCGCCGGCTGCCGGCGGGTGCAGGAGCACGGCGGGGCTGCGGGGCTCGAGCTGGCGGCTCATGGAGCTGGCGGGCGGCGGCGATCCGAGCGCGGGGTGGCGCGCGAAGCCGGGAACAAGGCGGCCAAGGAAAGCGGCTCCGGTTGCTGCTGCTGCTGCTACCCAATTAATTGTCCTTCTGCGGCTGATTCAGGCGACCTCCTCCGCTCCGAGGGAAGCAGCGCTCCCGGCCGAGGCTTGTGCAATGCCGTCCAGCAGCCTGGCGCGCATCCCCTCCTGCTCCCTCGACGGAGAGCGCCCGGCCGCAACTGCAGGCGCGCCCCTCCGCTCACCATCTGCCGGCAGCGCGGCCAAACTCCCGGGAGCTCATCAAAGTTCCCCGTGACGCAAGGGGAAGCGGGCGGGGCCTCGGGGAGCCCGGCCTCCCATTGGCGGCCTCGGCCCCATTCAGCACGGCTGCAGCCGACGGAGCGAGTAAAAAAAGGGAAGAGAGCCGAGCCATCTCCAGCCAGGCGATGGGAAGAACCCGCGAGGAGAGAGGGAGCGCCTTTGTCACTCGCCTGGGGCGCACCGGGGCGCTTCAGAACGGCGCGGGGTGGAGGTTAGAGCACTGGGCTGGGAGATCGGTGTTCAAGTCCCCCCCGATCAAGCTGGGAAAAGTTGGGAGAGCAGTGGAAGAAACGCAGCCTTCCCCGACGTTGTATTCGGGCCCCGAGCGCGACTTGCAATGGGTGCGAGAAGCCGCCGGCTGCTCTGGAGGGGAAGTCTCGTCAGTCTCGTGTCGTCGTCCCACCACGGCCACCCATTCCCCCCCACGTTTCCCCAATCTTAAATTCAGTTCTCCACATTCAGCCATGAATAACAGAAAGGGAGAACTGCAAAGTTGGAAGGGAAGCCCGAAAAACATCTCTAGTCCAAACCCCTGCAATGCAGGAATACGCGCAGGGAATCGAACCTGCAACCTTGGCGTCACCAACTGAGCTATCCAGATGGACATTTGCACATCAGTTTTGGAATTCGTTTCATTAAAAAAAAAAGCCCTTATGAAAACGCACCAGCATTTTAGTGCAAAATGTATCCATTTCTGCATGCGATTTTGCCCCATAGGCACATTACTTTTGCAAGCAATTTCCCCCTAATGTTTTTGCATGTCATTTTCACCTCTATATTGCAGCCCTATGCATCCTTTACCTAGCAATATGCATTTTCCTACAGATTCCCTGATTGGAGCCTTTTGCATAGCAAAATCTGGAGAAATGCAAAATTTGCTGCAGTTTGGTTTTTGAGAATTCCCTCAGGTCAACAGCGTTCGTCCCATGTGACTTAAAACCGCAACCATTCCTTGCAAATAGTACAAACTGGAAGCGCTGAACTGATTTGTTGATTTGGACTACATCTATAATCATTCTTCAGACAAACCACCAGCTGGAGAAAAGCAGCCAGGACCAAGATATATTGTCTAAGAGATGGTTCAGGCAGCCCCAGCCACCACAGGAAGAAGAACATACTCAAATGTGCTATTATTTACACACACCTGCAATATCGAGCCTTGAATAGTAAGCAATTTGTAGGGCAGATCATCCGCTAAGTGGCAGATGCAATCAGTACCATCTGCTGATTCGAGAGGCAAATGTACTGCTTGAGGTCACCATCCGCAGAATCATATGTTCCAGGAATACAGGTACTTTTAGAGATCTCCAAAGAGATACGCAAACCGCAAGGCCAGTGGCCAGCTTGCCATGAGCTACTTTCAGTGTATTTTAAGAAGCACATGCAATGCCTTGTGCTGGATGACTCATAGCATATCAGTCCCATTAATGCATCTGAACACTAAAAACAAGAACTGCATTTGTTCAAGGAGGATATCCTGGGGGTTCCATTTGCTGCTTCCCTACATGATGACACCAGGCAAAGGTTCTGCAAATGCTTTCTCAGCCACTCGCCTTTTCTTTCAAAGTGCATCATTTCTGGATCTTCCAGCCTCGTCGTTCAGCAACTACATAGGCGGCTCAGTCGGTACAGCGTGAGACTCTTGATACTCAGGGTCGCGGGTTTGAGCCCTACGCAAAAAGGTCCCTGCGTTGCAGGGGGTTGGACTAGATGACCCTCAGGACCCCAACCAACTAGAATTCTGTGGTTCTAACGTGCATAGGGAATTTTCAAATGTTTGGTGTTTTACTGTGCTTAATGTTGTTCATTTGTTGGAAGCCTCCCAGAGTGGCTGGGGGCAAGCCAGCCAGATGGGCGGCATATAAGTAAATAATAATAATTGCTGTACTTTCATCTACGCTGTTTAGCAACTGTCTACACAGACTGGCAGCATCACTCCAGAATTTCAAGTGGGACTTGGGAGATGCCAGGATTTGAACCTGGGACCTTCTGCATGCAAAGCAGATTCTCTGCACTGTTACAGGGGTCGGCATTAGGGCAGGGCTGTGGAAACTGTGGACCTCCAGATTTAGGTGAACTATAATTCCCACTACCCCAGATCTGGCTGGGGCTGGTGAGAGTTGGTGGTGTACAGGAACCTCTGCAGGTCTGCCAATTACCCAGGCCTGCGCTGGGGCTGAGATCTCTCACCAAAGTGGTCATCCAGTATCTGAAGTGTACCACTGTGGTCTAAAACACCGAGCCTCTTGGGCTTGCCGATCAGAAGGTCGGCGGTTCAAATCGCCACAATGGGGTGAGTTCCCGTTGCTCTGTCCCAGCTCTTGCCAACCTAGCAGTTCAAAAGCACGCCAGTGCAAGTAGATAAATAGGTACCGCTGTGGCGGGAGGGTAAACGGCGTTTCCATGCACTCTGGTTTCTGTCATGCTGCCCCATTGTGCCAGAAGTGGTTTAGTCCTGCTGGCCACATGACCCGGAAAGCTGTCTGTGGACAAACACTGGCTCCCTCAGCCTGAAAGTGAGATGAGCACTGCAACCCCAGAGTCGCCTTAGACTGGACTTAACAGTCCAGGGGTCCTTTACCTTCTACCTTTTTTCTACCACTTCAAACGGCAAGTTCAGACTCACTCTTCAGGTGAGCTGTTTGACAGTGGAATGGACTATTTTGGAAGGTGGTGGGACTCTCCGTCTTCCTTGCAGGACGTTGGACTAAATGAGCCTTGGGATACTTTCAGTGATTTTTAAAAAAAATTAAATTGTGTGTCCTTGTTTCTCAGTCGGATCCTGTTCTTTGTTTTCTGGTATTTTATGCACTGTGACTTGCCATTATTTTTATTTATAGCTTACTATAATTATTTACTGTAATTGATGGGTGTAAACTGTTTAATTATTATTTACTGATCTCTAAGGTTTCTGTTTGCTATTAGTTTCTAATGGATTATTGAATATTGCTTTAATTTGATTCAAGTTGTTTATTTTAGAGTTATTGTGACTTTTTTGTATTGGATCAGATGGTTGTTGTTGTTGTTTTAAATAATTTTTATTGGGATTTTATTTACAACATAACATAAACCCCCACCAATACACAATATACCCTCATTAAACGTGAACATAACATACAGCGAGCGTAATATACAACAATACAAACAACGAAATAAAAGACGACTTCCTTTATCCTGTATCTGGCCTCCTTATTTACTTCTTTTTATTTTAGAGTTATTGTGACTTTTTTTTTTGCATTGGATCGGATGGTTGTTATTAACGTGTTGGAAGCCGCCCAGAGTGGCTGGGGCAACCCAGCCAGATGGGCGGGGTATAAATAATAAAATTATTACTATTATTATATCCTTTCCAACTCTGCAATTCAGGATGATGCCCCATCTATGCACATAGGAAACTAGATGTGAAGCAAAAGGTTTCCCTGACATGCTTGGGTGGGGGTTTCTCTTTTCGTCTAGAGGAGCATTCAATTACCTGTCACCTGCAAACTCAGTGAGAACTAGGTCCTTAGGGGCTGCCAGCAACTCACAGCCAACAGTCATACGCCTCTTTTATCTATGGGTTGGCAGGTGCAGGTGGGCGAATTGTCAGCCTGGATTTGGCCCTGAGGCTCACAGGCAGCCCCAGCTATCTGGGCCATGCAGATAGCTGATAGCTGAGCGAAGTACTTGGTCACATACACAGCCAGCAGCAATTTCAGTGCTTAGGGGGTGGGGAAATCCTGTTAAGGGGGCTCAATGCCACTGGGTTCAATACGTAAGCTGCACAATCTGCTCCACTGATAGAAGAGGTAGGCAGAGGCTGTCAGAGCTTTGCCATCGTTTTACGATCGCTGTTTGTCACCGCGCTGAGTGCTTTGTCTTGTTTGACCTCACAGCAACCCAGTGAGTAATCTGCAACTCCTATTAATATTTTTATAGCGCTAACCATGTGCTTGGATGGGAAGCGAAGGCACACAGAGCTGCATGTGCCACCTCTCTCTGATAGGCAGCTCCCCACCCCAGCCCTCCAGATGGAAACATGCCAGGCAGGATCTAAGGTCTCAACAAGCCTGGAGCTGGTGATCTGCAGGAGGATGTTGGTCGTTTCAGAACGGTCTGAAGTGGACTTGCCTCTTAACTCCCAACTGCAGTTTGAGACCATTTATAATTTCTTGCAATATACACCTCTAACTCACTCTCTGTCTCAACACACACACACACACAAAAATTGTTTGGTGCCAGATTCAGGACAGACCAAAGGATGCCCTGCGTCCAGAAGAGCTTTTCTTTTTGAAGGAAGCGCTAGCGCTCAGTGGCAGCACACTTGCTTTATACGTAAAGGTCTCAGGTTCAATTTTAGCACCTCCCCAGTAAGGCTGGGAATGCTTCTGAAACCCTGGACAGCCATCAGTGCAAACAACGCTGAGCTGGTGTCAGGAGCGAGCCGGCAGTAAATCACACTGTTCAAAGTTGGAGTTAACTCTTCCTTAGCAAGAACTGAATCTGCACAGAGTGTCAGGTCTAATGAGCACAGCAGCTCATCTCTGGTAGGTCTTGCCCCACAGATGAGTTGCGGAGACTTAAAGTCCCCGCTTCCCTATAGTACCCTCCTCTCAAGGGTTTGCACCTGTTTGAAGCTAACTTCTCCGCCCTTTTCATGCCTCTTCTGGTTCTGCAAGACCTGGGAGGAGGGGAGTTTGTCACAGCAAGAGGAGGAGACACCTGTGACTCTTCACCAGCCTCCTGACATATCTCTGCCTCTTGGGCTCCCTTCGCTTCAGCTTCTGCTTCTGGACTTCTCTGCCACAGACTCTCCCAGCTCACTAAGCCCTGTTATCTCTTCAGCTTCTGACACCTCCTCCTCCCAGTCTTCTCCCTCTGACCACTCATTGTCATCCCACCCAAAATCCCAGGGCTCTGAGCCTTCTTCCCTTGGGGGCTCCCCAGCTGGTTCCTGTTTGTTGTGGGGGAGGAAGGGAAAATGAGATTGTTAGCCGCTTTGAGACTCCTTAGGGTAGTGATATGGGTAGTGATGTATGGAAGTGAGAGCTGGACCATAAAGAAGGCTGATCGCCAAAGAATTGATGCTTTTGAATTATGGTGCTGGA